CTCTCTCTCTCTCTCTCTCTCTCTCTCTCTCTCTCTCTCTCTCTCTCTCTCTCTCTCTCTCTCTCTCTCTCTCTCTCTCTCTCTCTCCTTTCCAGCGACAGCTCAGCAGTGGTCTCCGCTCACACTCTGCCCCTCAGTCGTTTTCTGCACCAATCCGTCTGCTTTGCTCTTTTACCCCGGCCCGAGTTCCCTCCCTTGCCTCCCTACAAACTCCACTCTCTCCCAGTGCGCGCGCGTTTCTTCTTTCTGCCATCTTCCGATCGTCGTAAGAAGACAGCAAATTGCAATTGCGCGCTAAACTCTCTTGAGAAAATCAATCATCAAACACGAAACACAGGAGGGTGGTGTGCATAACCTTCCCTCCTCCCCTGCTCCCCATCTTTGGCCCAATCGCTCGCGCAGCCTGGCCCCATTGCCAACCTTCGTCTTCCTCGGGGCATCTTCATCATCGCCGCCATCGCCGCCAGCTGCGCGATTCGACGACACAGAGAGAGGTGGTGTGAAAAGAACCAACCTCCCCCTCTCTCGCTCTCTCGTCGTCCTTCCCACCTCTGTGCCTGCGAGCGATTGGAGTCTTTCTCTGAGTGCCTCTGAGTCTTCTCTGCGGGTCTTTGTAATGAAATCGCATCGCCCCTCGTTTATTCCTCCCTCACAAGAGCGCCACGTTTGATTCCAGGATCCCCTCCATCTCCTGCTAAAGGCACCCCTCTTGTCCATCTGCGTATCATCTCGAGTGCCGGCGCAGGCTGATCCATAGGAACCATGTGACCAGAGTCGTGAACCTTGAGGAAGGTCAACGGTTCAAAGGCGGACGACAACCCTACCTCCTTTCCTTTCATCGTCATGGCCACCCACGGAGCCTTGGAATACTTCTCTCTTCCCGCCCAGTCCATCCGCGCCACCCATCTCGAATTACCCAGCCAATTACAGATGAGATCGTGTTCTCCCGCGTAAACGAGAAACCTGATTCCCGCCTCAAGAAGCTTCGGCACACCGAGCTCAAGATTCCGCATCTCGTCGAGCTGCAATGCAGACCAGACGGAGCCAGAACACGTCTGCCAGGACCGGTCGCCCACACCTAAAGCCTCCTGCACCGACCGGTCGTTCAAGAACCTCTCCAACGGCGAAAAGTCGTAGCAAAGGGGCGGGAAATCGCACTTCTTTCGTATATCGTAATAATTAATTGAGCCGCCAGCCTTTTCCAGCACGTTGTCAAATATCCTCCCGCAAATGGCGTTGGCCACTAGGCAGGACACGCGACCGGTCGTTCCGCATGCTCGCGCTGCTAGGCTGCAAGCAGGGCACAGCTTTCGAATCTTCTTGTGCTCCGCTTCAGTGATCAGACCGTTTTGAAGAGCGTAATCGGGAAGGGATGGGAACTGGATGTCCGGCTGAGTCAGTCCATTACCGATCGCGATCCCTTTGAGATTGAGAACGCGGCCGCGAGGCGGCGGCGTTGACGTCCTCTGCTGCCCTTCCGCCTCCCGCCTAGAGGTCCTCCTCATCGTCCTCCTACTCGTCTCCGTCATCCTCGTCGGCTTCTCAGGAAGATACGCCCTAGCAGCAGCAGCAGCATCATCGCCATCGATCTCGTGGCGATGACCCAACGGCAGAGGCTGGAGGCGGACATCATCATCATCGCCTCCACCGCTCACCAGGTCCACCTGTCCGACCAGGTTACGGTCGTTGTGACTATCGCGACGACCATCATGATAATCACCGTCATCGCCTACGGGCGCACGTTTTAGGCCTTCGTTCCCGCGCATAATACGTGTTCCCAGTGCCGGCAAGTAATGCCCGCCGTACGATTCTCCAGTCAGGAACAGATCCCGATTGGCGAAGTCAGGATGAGCGTCGAAGAATACCTGTAGGAAGTCGTACATGTCGTCGCTCACGCCTGCTTCATCATGCCGCACATCCCTCGGGTCGGTACTATAGCTGAAGCCGGTGTTGACCGGCTGGTCAACGTAGATCATACTCGCAACGCGATCCCAACCGAACTCATTCCACGTCAGCTTGGCTGTCATCCTCTCTGTAGTCGTCCCATTGCCAACCTTCGTCTTCCTCGGGGCATCTTCATCATCGCCGCCATCGCCGCCATCGCCGCCAGCTGCGCGGCTAAGCTCGACCTGCGCCGCGGAGGAGAGCTTGAAAGGCCCGTTCTCATAGAAGAGAGCAATCTCGCTCGCGCAGCCTGGCCCCCCCGTGAGCCAGAGGACAACGGGATCGGAACTCGGATCGCCGCGAGAGGGAAAGAAGAAGTAGAAAAGACGGGTGTCGTGGGTGCGATTAAGCCGGAAATAGCCGGCGTAATGCCCGATGTCAGGATCAGCAGGATCTCCGTTACGCAATGTTGCCCCCCCCCTCTTTACACCTCCCTCCCAACCCCCCGCCGAGCGTGTATCTTCCTCCAGGGGCAGATTAGTAATTCGCCACTCTACCAGCCGCGATGATGATGAAGAAGAAGAGGTAGGCGTCGAGTCGGAAGAAGGTGATGACGTGGCCTTCTCCCCTTCCACAGCATCATCCCCAGCATCGTCACCACCACTGCCATAGCCATTCTTGGCAAGCTCATCAAGCCACCCGCTTTCTTTGGCGCCGGCGGCGATGACACGCTTCGCCGGAATGCCACCACTTGCCCGCAGTCGTTCTCGCAGTCTCGAGAACCCCCCTTCTGCGACCGAGGGGTTTTCCACATGATTAGTTGAAGGATGGACCCCCTTCACGTCAAGGTCGCCAGCGTGAGCGCAAGAGCAATAAAGTGCTTGCGAGGCTAGGAGGATGATCGAAACCCATAACTGCAACAAGCGCCCCGCGTCCCACACGCCGCGCCCCTTCTGATCAGGCTTCTTCATGAACGACCTCATATCTGTGGCCGAGACTTTCTTTATGAAGACATCCATCATACCACGTCGTTCTGTCATCATACCACGTCGTACGGTCAATGAAAGGACGACTCCTTGATGTGATGATCAAGCCGCCCTGTCAACCGCATGGTCTTCTCAAGAATAAGAATATCTTCTGAAGAACAAAAATAAACACAAGTCCAACAGTCTCTGTTAATTCTCTCTCTCTCTCTCTCTCTCTCTCTCTCTCTCTCTCTCTCTCTCTCTCTCTCTC